TTGTGGACGACTTGTCCAGGCCACTAAATTGCATAGATTTAGAGGTGAGCTGCTGATAACAGGTGCAGCTCACCTGACCGGAGGGCCACCCTTCAGAGGACTGAGCAGCAATCAGAGCTGGGCTCTGAGCGTCCTCCCTGCGTAACACTCAGGATCACAGCCTTCATTTACGCTCCTCTGTGCAAAACCAGCATCAGAAACAAACAGTTCAGGGCTCAGATTTATGTTCCTACCTGCCACGTCTCGTTCTGCTGCAGTCATCGTAGACGTCTCTCGCCCTCCTGTGAGGAACAGTTGAAAGATGTAATAAAGTCAGGTTCAAACAATTACATTAGAACAAAATCATAAAGTATGCAGTATCAAAAAATGTTTTGTGATCCAAAACGTTGAAATATTTCGGACGAGCTTATATGAAACATCAGTGTTCGTCATTACAGGAGGGAAACGCTTAAATCCGATGACTGCAGCACAGTCAGACTGAACTCTGTGCTGGATCAAGGCGTTACCTGGAGAGATCACTGTCAGCTGCACCGCTGGTTCGTTATTGCACAGGTATCTCCCAGAGTCTGAGAGAGTCGGCTTCAGGATGACCAGCGACTTATCAGGCAACGACCCGAATCGCGTGTCCTCGCTGTGTCGTACGTCCACGTCGCCGTCGGTCGTGAGTACGGCAGCTTTGCTTCCATGACTCTCTCTGCTCCACGTCACCTTACCCTCCACAGAGAGGGGACAGCGCAGAGTGAAGGACTCCTTGTCTCTGATTATTTTATGTTTGATTCCTGCAGAAGAAGCATTATTTTTAATGCAGCTGTACATTACTGCATTACTTATCCACTGGTCTCTATTTTGACCACGCACAGTTTGTGTTCATATCTTGATGGAAAGTTCACTCACGATCTTTTCATTGAAAATTGTTGCATAGACACAAAGTTCATATAAAGAATTTCTGACAATTATTCAGTTTTTCTTATTGATAAAAGTCTTACAGGCTGTGGATTGAAGGTTGTAAATGTTTAAATTAAAAAACAAAGCTTCTGTTTTTCAATGTATTTATTTTAATATAAAGTCATGTATTAGTGGCTGAAGCTCTGATGGATAAAATGGAAACACTGAAGGATAATAAGGCTTAAAGCTAAAGAAGCAGCAGGTGGATTAATTCATTGTACCTGCAGAGACTCAGATACCTGCACGTACACCGGCTCTGAGCGCAACTTTTATCTGCGCTCACAACAGGAACTCAGCTGCTGAGCAAATATAGATGTTCCTATCAAACACCTCATGGTATATTTTGATATTTTGTGGTTAATAAACGCTAATTGTTCCTGTTATGTTGGGGAATGAAATCATCGTCATCAGTGAAGTGTAAAAACACCTCCCAGATCTTTTCCTGCTCACTGACAGACGAATTATTGTTTGTAAATGGTAAAAAGCCTGTATTTGTACAGCGCTTTACACATCCAGGGAAGCTACATTTTTGTCTGTCTCTTCTAATGTTTCTTCTCAAAGCCCAAAACATATGACAGAGAGTAAGTCTGTGGCTTCCTGCTTTGGAGAATCCAGCCATGATCACACTTCACAGAGCAGACTAAAGATGCACATCTACCAGGGAGAGAATTCATGCTAAAACCACAGAGGCCTTTGGGTGGAGATGACACTAACGTGCAGACCCTGTGCTCTCATGGCTGTCTCCTCCAGCAGTAAGGTAGGTGCTGCACTGAGGACATTAACCACACACAGCTCGTGCATTTACAACAGTTTTCAAAGGAAAGGTTTTGAGGGAATCAACCTGTGAACACGAAGTTCAACAGATTGAGCTTCAAGGACAAATTATTCTTAATTAATCTCACTGTCTTACACAGTGTAAATGTTTAGATTCAAAAACATTCAAATAATAAAGCTGCAACTATGCAAACTGATCTCCACCATAAAGTGAGCAGACCTGCCGCAGTGGATGAAACATGGTAACTGTTCCAGCTGAAGAAGCAGGAGGTGGATTATTTTAATGCCTTTCTTACCTGCAGTGAGATTACAGCCCAGAGCAAGGACAAAGAGGCAGCAGCAGATATCCACCCTCATCCTGATCAACACTCAGATACCTGCAAATGCATCGGCTCTGACCGCAGCTTTTATCTGCGCTCACAGCAGGACCTGAGCTGGCTGACCACATACAGATGTTCTTCCAGCAAACACCAACCTCCTCGTGACATATTTGGTATTTTGTGGTTAATAAACACTAATAGTTCCTGTTATTTTGAAGTATGAAATCATCATTCGTCATCAGTGAAGATTAAAAACAACTCCCAGAATGGAAAGCTGCTTTCCTGCCCACATGAGTTATTCTTAGTAAAACCACTGAAGCATACTGTGAAAAATATGTTTGCAAACACAAATGTGACCATAAAGGACAAAAGCAACAACGAACTGCGTCATGGATCAAAAACATCACTGGAAACATGTTGCAGCCTGTTGTCAAAATGGATTCAGTTTATTTTTTGTCTCCAAATCCCCCAAAATAACAAAGTGTAAAAATGTGTAGCGTGTACACAAGTGTTCAGTCTTTGCTCAGCAACTTGTTGGAGCACGTTTGGCAGCAGTTACAGCCTCTTGTCTTTTTGAGTGTGATGCTACAAACTCGACACGCCTGTTTCTGGCCAGTTTCTCACTTCCACGTCTCCATTTTCACTAAACTGCAATCAGTAACGACTCTCACACACAAACATTTATTTCTGTGCATTTATATGTTTATACTGTATTCATTAGATACTCTTTTAGTCACAGACGGACAGTTCACAGTGAAGGAAGGTCTTTCTTCGAGAAGCAAACTTATACGTGGTTTATTTATAACAATGAAGGAGTGCTAAACAGTTTGATCAGCATGTTAGCAGAGACGTAGCCGAAGCAGCAAGTGTCTATTCTAATGTCTAGAGTGTGTGTAGACGTCTCATCATCAACCTTTCTTATTCTTGCCTGACTTTGAGAAGATGAGAACCGTGTCGCCAGCCCAACGTTATAACGGCTCAACACAGAATTATGATTCATAAGTGAATTTGCTGATAGTTCATTATGATCAATACTGATCAGATATCATCAGTAAATATGAAGGAAATATGAATATGATGGAGTTTGGCTAAAAGGACACTTCTAGTTTAGTGTGAAGTTTACACTAAGCCCAGCTGGTTGTGCATCTTATTACCAGTGACGGGGATAACGGCGTTACTTTTTTCAGTAACGAGTAATCTAACTAATTACTACTCCTGCTGTTACAACGCCGTTACAGTTACTAAAATGCAGTCGTGTTATTATTTTTCACCAAACAGACGGCTGAAGCTGTGTTCAGCTTACTGCACGTAAGTAATGTGCGCGCTCCTGCGGACGGCAGTCACTGTCTGGCACAACAGCTGGAGCTCAGGGGGCAAAACAATCACACGAGTGCTGCTGTTTGACTGAGGACGAATAAAGGAGTCGTGGTCAATCACATGACCACTTAAAGACAAAGCAACAAGGTGACATGTACCAGTTTATAAACTGCGTTGATCGGCCAGTAAAACCAAGGTCAAGGTCAAATTTATTT